CAAGGTGGGGATGGGGCACAGGGGGGACTCAATGGGTTTGGAGGGCTTTTCCAACCTCAGGGATTCTGGGATTCAGGGCTCTCAGGGAGCCACCACCCACCTTCTTGGCCTTGGGGAAGAAGGGCAGCCACTTGTCCCTGTCGGGGAGGGACGGGACCTTCTCGGAGGCGCCGGCAGGCCGCGGGTCCCGGACCCGGATCCCGGTGTGGTTCATGTAGGTGCTGAGGGCAAAGGCCATGGGGGAGCTGGAAGAGAGCAGAGCACGGGGATGGAGAGGGATCCCACCCCTGGAAATGGTGGGAAAACACAGCGGGAGGTCGGGATAACCCCGGGGGATCCACAGGGGTGGGATGAGGCTGAGAAGGAAGAGGGAAGGAGAGGAGGAGTTGGGAGAGGGGGACATGGAATGGGAGAGGGGCAGACGTGGCCCACCAGACCCCAAGGGAAGTTCATCCTTCCCCAGGATCCCAAGGGAAGTTCCTCCTTCCCAGGGCCATCCTGAGAGCCCAGGGGGCACGTGGGAAATTCACCCTTCCCAAGAGAAGTTCATCTTTCCCAGGGGGTGCCTCTGGCACACCAGAATCCCAAGGCAAGTTCACCCTTCCCAGGGCCCTCCTGAGAGCCCAGGGGGCACACGTGGCACAGAGAGAAGAAGCAGGAGGCCAAGACTGGATACTCCCTATGGAATTCCCGACCCTCCTGCCGTGCCCTGGGATCACTCACCTCCTGTCCTCTTCATACTTCGACCTGTGGAGAGACAGGGAGGGATAAAAGGGTTTGTTTGGGACACCCAAAGGTGTTTGTTTTGGAGGGGTGCTGGCATCACTCCTCCTTGTCCCTCCCTGCTCCCACCTCCCCTTCCCACCTCCAGCAGGATGAAGGGACGGAGCTGAGGCTGTTCCTGCCCCTCTTCCCCGTGTCTCCAACCCCAAACCCCAAACTCAGGCACTCACAGGATCTCCCCGAGCTGGGCCAGCTGCTTCTCGGCCACCTGCCGCTCCTTCTGGGGGTCCCCATCCAGCTCCAGGAGGTCGTTCTCCCCATAGAGGCTCCCCAGGCCCATCGTCCGCTTCGTCCTGCAAGGACCGGGATCGGGACTGGCACTTTGGGATGGGGCCATTGGGGCCTGGGGGGCCATCAGGGCCTGTGGGGCCTATGAGGCCTGGGGGGCCATCAGGGCCTGTGGGGCCTATGGGGCCCTCAAGGCCTGTGGGACCATTAGGGCCTGTGAGGCCTGTGGGGCCCTCAGTGCCTCTGGGACCATTAGGGCCTGTAGGGCCTGTGAGGCCTATGGGGCCCTCAGGGCCTGTGGGGTCTGTAGGGCCTGTGGGGCCTAAGGGGTCTATGGGGCCTGTGAGGCCTAAGGGGTCTATGGGGTCAATGGGGCCTATGGGGTCTATGGGGCCTATGTAACCCATGAGGCCTGTGTTGCCTATAGGGCCTAGGGGGCCTTTGAAGCCTGTTGGACCCGTTGGGTCTGTGGGGCTTATGGGGCCTATGTAGTCTAAGGGGTCTATGGGGCCTCTAGGGCCCATGGGGCCTTTGCAGCCTATGGGGTCTATGGGACCTATAGGGCCTTTGCAGCCTATGGGGCACATGTGGCCTATGGGGTCGCCCCCAAGGTGCCCACGGGGACCCCTGTGCAGGTGTGGTACCTGTAATCCTGGATCTGCTCCTGGATCTCGGGCATCACCATCTCCTGGGCCTCAAACAGGGCGGCCCGGGCATCGTCCCCATTGCGCAGGCGACTCTCTGGGGACAGGGAGGGACAATCCCGCTCACCAACCACCCCAGGGATATTTGGGAATCCTCAGGGAGACCTGCCCTGAGTGCTGGCCACCCCCTTGCCAGAGGTGATTCCCATCTCGTGTCCTGTTTTGCTGAGACACCACAAGGAGAGCTCCGAGATCACCGGGAAGAGCTCCGGGAGCCCCCAGCCCCAAACCCTCCTCCTGGATTGGCATCCCAAGGAACGGCCCCTCACTCACCGATCTCTGCCAGGAGCTGCTCCGACACCTTCACCCGGAGAGGCTGCAGAGGGGGGGAGAAGAGAGGAGCAGCTCAGCTCTGGATCCCTTTTCCCAGCTGGTGCTGGAGCCCCTGAATTCCTGCCCCATCTCTCCACGGAGATCTCACACACCCAGCATCCCACAAAAGATTCCCAACAGGAATCTATCTGCTCCCTTGGAGCACCAACAGGAGCACCTGGGTCTCCATCCTCCCTTCCAGGACCCTCCTCTCCTACTTCCAGGCCCCTGGAGGCAGCTGG